AGATTGCAGAAGCAAACATCAGATGTTTAGCATAAATAAATGGTACACCACAGATTAATCAATATGTCTGGTGCAGTGGTTTGTAGCTGCAGGAAAATCTCCCGTCAATGACATTAGGGAACATTTATTCCCACTTTCCCCTTTAAACTTAAGATGTAAACAGCAAGCACTAAGGTGCAATCTAATTACTGTCTGCTCTGCTTAACAATAGAGACCTCTAATGTTTTCCCACTGCCTCTGCGGCTTCCAGGTTACCATTCATATAAACTGAAGCATGCAAAAGAGCTGGTAATGACTGGCAGAGGGGGAGGAGACCGGTAATGGCACCCGTATCAGTGAATACGACATAATTAGGTGGTGACATTCATTTACTCCATCTTATACAGTTTTTCATATGCAATTTCTAAATTTTAATAGTTTAGATTCCTTAACTGTACTTTGCACCCACCGTTTTAGACTAGCACATATTTAGAACACACAGAAAGCTAGAATTCTCTGGCGAAAGACCCGCTGAAAGCAGAGATTTTGCTTCAGTCTCCCCCAATTCCCAGTCCCTCAGGTGGGACCTGTATCAGACATTGTGCCCCATATTGCTTATGGCATCTACAAGCTACATATTATGAAATTCTCTGAAAATACATATGGACAAAGGATAGCTCTCCCCCTCCTGTTCTGCTTAATTTGATTAGGGGGTTCGCAATCTGTATGGATTCAATAAGGCTAAACGGAACCATGTTCATGACTGCACAATCACATTGTGTTGACATTGGTCACAACTGGGTCACTGTCTCTCACAATGAACATCACCTTGCCCAGAAAATAATCTCAGCCAGCCTGCCTGCTTCTATCAGGGAGGCTGCTATTCACTGTAATCCACCATTCAGCTTTAAAGCGTCATGCCGGGACTGCCATCCCTCAGGCTCATGCCTAAAACACAAGAGAGGCGAGATCTCCACAGTTTAAATACCAAACTTTTGGAACTTCTAAGCAGCTGGATATGTAGTCTGTCTAAGTCAACTTTCCCAATCCTGCCCCTTGCACTGCCCAGCACCTTCAGGTGGCCTTGGCTGTCCATGGGGAATATTTCATATGGACTTGAAGAGGCAAGGATGCCGCTGATAATGACAACTGCTTTCTCCTGAAAATACAAATCCATGCATACTGGCAGCCTGTGGGTTGAAACTGATCTTTGCACAGCTTGAACACCCCACCCACTTCCAGCCTGCAACTCTTGATCTGACTGGCTTCTGTTTGCAGTCTTAATTGAGCACCCAGATGCAGAGCATTCTTACAGAAAAGAAGGGTGCTAGCCATCGAGCCATTTTACATGCCGGACTATTGCTCCCAAATCTCCGAAGCGACTGATGTACGGAAGAAGCACAGTTTGTGCAGTGCTAGTTCACAGATCCTCTGCTTCTCAACAACTCCCTTAACATGTGAGGCGTCAGAAGAATATAACTTGCAGATCAGGAAATTGTGAATCTAGATCTACTGGATTGCTTTGGCTCGTGGGAGAAGGCGATTCCCATGGAAGCAGGCTGAGAAGCATCCAAAGGTGAAGCAGATCTTGGAATAAGGTACCTGGAGGAAATGCAGGCTAGCAGATAAAAAGCTACATTAGGCATCAGGTCATGTGAGCTCCCAGTGGGATGCTTTCCCTTTCAGCACCAGACCTACAATATAGTGTCATATTCCACAATGGAGACCCCCCCCCCAATGTAAAAGTGGTATCGTCCCGCAATGCAGGAGGGTGGGGTGTCTCTATGTTTCTTGAAGTTCAGAGATGACTTGGATGTACCGAATTAATTGCATGGTTCCTGGGAAACTAGCTGTGGTCACCTCCTCGGAAATTGGAAGTGTCGCTAGCTTCCTCAGCTGGGAGAACACAGCATTGTGATGTGTGTCCCTGTCTACTCAGCTGTGGCCATTTGACGGGAAAGGGGAAGAACATAATGGAAAACAATGATGCTAATCTGCTTATACACAGGAAGCTTCTTTGTGAGCATACATGCTTATTTTACTAAGCACGAGTACTAAGCAAGTAGTACTCTGATCCTATAGATCTACAAAGCTGAAACAGGACAGCAGAGCTGTAGCCTTGGCATGTCCAAACCAAGTTGAAAAGCAAGCCCCACTCCCGGCTAGAACGCCCAAACTACGATTTCCCAGGAAAGCCTTCCCTACTTTTGCTCTGGTGCTTAATGCGCCGTGCCATGCTGACCACAATGCTTGAGGGATGCCATGCACATTACCATCCCAGTTCTGTCCCTTCCTCTTCAACCCCGTTGCCACGCATCATGCTTGTGCATAAACCGCTGTGCCATTGCGCATTGCAGGTGAAGGTGTTGCAACCCTGTGCTTTGGGGCTAGGCTAGCTCAAGGCACAGTGCCCCCATCGTGATCTTCTGCTCGCAAAGATGGCGGCAGCATCCTCAAAATTTATCAGTCCCTTGACACGAGTGACAAAATTGTTAACAGCACCTTTTGTCACGCATGTCAATGAGCAACTATATAAATTATACAAATAATCATCATTATTATATAAATTATAAAATTGTTATTATTAGTGTTATCTAGAACTGTGCACACATGGCATCCTGAAGTTTTCTACCCTATGAGTGAGGAGAAAAATGGTGGGGACCATTTCATCAAATTTCTCCAGGGGGGAAGGAGAAATCTGGATGTTTCTCAGGGATGGGGCCCATCATTACCACAGTTTATTTATTCTCTCCCCCCTAGAAAAGCTTCTCTCTTTCTGCTATTGCAGGTGACAGCAGCAGTGTTGGCCACACAGCCTCCAGTTTACACCTGTCCCTTTCTCAGGACCTCGTGTTCTTCTCAGGTGTCAACAGGGCAGGCAGAGAGGAAAATAATGCCCACCACCACCAATTATAAAAATGAAGATATATATATATATATATATGGATGATGCAAAGTGGTATTTTTCAGGAGGGTGTGGGAAAAAGAAAATCTCATACATTTTCTAAATTTAATGTTACCTTCTGAATTTAATGTTACCCACATGCCAATTTCTTATTATTCCTGTTGGCCATTTTATCTACTACTTGTTAGTACCAGTTCATTTCGAAGCCTGAATTAAAAGTTAATGGCAAATTGGTAAGAGTTCACTTTGCCTGGTTTCCTACTGCTCGTCCCAAAGCAGTGGCTTTGATACACCTAACATGGATTCCAGTAAACGCGTAGGCCTCTTTCCCTCCATGGCTGTTGAATTCCCCCACACTGAACAAGGCAGCCCCTCCTGCCGTGGAGCTATTTTTTCTTTCTTTCTTTCAGTGACTCTCTCTTTGTTCTCCTCTCCTCAGACAGGAGAATCCCCTCCCAATTTACTTCCTCCACAACTACGCATCATTTCATCAGCGTTGCTGCCGTTTCAGGTTTTCCAGGAACACAAGCTGCTTCCACATTTTGTAATAATTTTTATCATCACCTTTTAAAAAACAATTTGACCAAAAGTAATGTGATATAGCCAAGGGCATAACACCCCCACCTCTCTCATTTCCATATTATTTTTCATTGAAGTCTTACTATAGCCTAACATTTTGGAAGCTTTTTTTTGTTCGAGGCAGGGAACTTGCCTTAAGAGATCTATCAAGCTGACTGATGAGCCTCTGTTCTTCATACCAACCAATTACATTTTTGAAGCCGAAATTAATAGCACTTTCATATACTGCAAGCAAAGCCTCCAACAGGCTATTAATAAATTAGTGATGTTATAAAGGCCAAGCAATATAAGCTGCCAAATTATTTGATGCATTCATACTAAAGGCATATTATTTGACAGTCGTGAGCCACCTTTGAAAAACTAGCAAATTGTTGCACTTCATCAGTCACCTCAACTTGCTTTTCTGCAAAAATCTGCTACGTTGCCGGCGTTCCTGGACAATGCAAACAGACAGGAAAAGATCAGATAAAGGAGGAGTGTGTGTGCTTTTATTCCCCACTATCAGAAATTATACAACTTTTGCGAGAGTCAGAGGGGTTTTACATAGGAATGTGACAAGACCATTCTAGGCCCTTGGAGAATGATGGATCTTGCATTGCCTATCAAACTTCCCCTCTGCCCAGATAACTCATCATTTACACACACACACACACACACACACACACACACACACACAAAGTACCAAATTTGTAAACAGTTGGCAAGATGAGAGAGACAGTTGGGTTATAAAGCTGGGAAGAAATTCAAGTTCACTATTATTCACATCGCCCGGGTAATTCTGTAGAGGGTACTTGACCCATATGAAAACACCTTCCTGTCCTCCTCCTGAATTTAATTGTTCACTGTTACTTAGCAATGTTTCTTTTCTATAAAGGTCTAATGTGGGCTTCAGTGAAGTGCAGCAAGAGCAATGGGGTGGAGTATAACTTTAAGGTGGGAAATAAAAGGGGGTTGTTTTGATGGAGGGAAATATTCAAGCAGAATGCAGATTGTACGTTCAGTAATTTTCTTCCTGGGTACTGCAGTTCTGTCTATCCTACTGTAAAGTGGAAGGAAGAGGCATAAGGAAACCCATAGAGATTTCTCTTTATAGCGTTTTGATCTTTCATTAAACATTTGTGCACAGCCTTTACTTCTTTTTTTAAAAAAAATATGCAGGCATTTCACACATGTCAGTATCAACGCAGGCACTCCCGTCACCAAATCTTGTAAATACTCTATTCATCTCAATTAATAAGCAAACTCCACTAGAGTAGCTGGTATACGGGTGGAGGGCGAGATTTCAGCTGATCCAAGAGGTCTCACTCATTTGAACAATCATTTCCTGAGTTTGGATACATGAAGCACCAAGTACTTGTACAATTATGAGGTGGAGAAACAAAAACAAAAACCCTTAAGAAACAAGACCAAATTTCTTTCCCTCTTCTTTTTTTTAAAAATACATACTGGAAGGTAAAACAGCCCAAGTATTCAAATAAATGATTAATTTCCTTCATTGCACATTTTAACCTGTACCCCATTTTCCTTTTTTGTTGTTGCTGCCAGAGTACTTCATTTTATTGCTCTTTCCAGCCTTTCCCATTCATCTTATTATTATTATTTTTTGCTAGAAAGAGGCAGCTCTACTATTGATGCAATGCTCCGCCACTGCACAGATATGGAATCGTGAATTCCACAATTTCCCCCTCATTCTAAACGTTAAGTTCAGGCATTGCAAATTGCTACCTAATAGATCACTAGAAATCAAAGGTGAAAGCCGGGGTGGGAGAGAGGGAAGGGAAAACCCAAAATAAGATGGGTATTAAGTTTTAATCAATTTAATTTTAATCTCCAAATCCCAATCCTTGCTCACAAGCTGTCGTGGTCGTGGATGTGTAAGGTAAGATAAGGTGTACATCCTGAAGCCCGACACCCAGCCTATTGTGAGAGGAGACATTTGTCCCCGAATCTAGCTCAAGATGGAACACACACATTTATTACCTCAATGTAACAGGGAGAATGCACAATGGTAATCCGCATGGCCTCAGTAGCCTTTTCCTTAATTTCCTTAATTTTCACAGAAATTTCATTGCACCACAACTTCTTTTTTTACACACACACACACACACACACACACACACACACACACCCTCTCTACTTGGCTGCACATATTTGGCTCCCTTGTTGCCAACCCTTTGTGCTTGCTCTGCCAGCGTTAACCTTGCCTCTCCTTCCAGATAGTAGCATTTAACTTTGTATGTTTACTTCTCTCCCTGCAAATGCCTCAGATTTAGTCTAACCCCCGGGAGCCCACATGCAAACAATGAATCAGCTTAATTGCTGCTGGGGAACAAGCAAACAAGGAAAAAATTCAACCCCCTCACTAATATGTGTGTGTGTGTGTTTTACTACTAAGCGTTGTCTGAAAGTTTTTTTTGTTGGTGGTGTTTTTGGCATACATGCTTATATGCACCTTTGCCATCTCCAAGGGCTTCGTGTCCCTAAACAAGCTATTTTTAGAAACCCTCACATGGCTGATACCCAGTTTTGTACAGTACATACTCCACAATTTCTCAGCATGCTTATCAAAATCTACCGCGTTTAAAAACTCATCACCCAAAAAACTCTCCCAAAAGCTGAGCTTTAAATCTAAACAACAGCAAATTCTTCCAAAGTGCTGGGCCCCGTTTTCCAGTGTCAGCTCAGACCACAGATTGACAATGCAATAAATTGCTGGGGGGAGAGAGAGAGAGAGAAATATAATTCTATAAATTTGGGCACTCATTTACTTTAGACGGATTATGAAAAAGGATAACATATTTACCTATATCCAAGCTTCCCACCTCTCCTTCCAAACGATGGAGCAAATATATTGCATGCTTACAATCATGTGCCAGTTGGCTGTCAGTAAGTGGTACCTTGTTTCTAAACATCATTCCCAGCAAGTTCTATTGAAAACCATAAGGTTTGTGTTCAGATTATGGTTTCAGATTTCAAGAGGCAAGCAGAAAAACTTTCACATTATGCATCTGTGGAAAGGGCATTTGGAAATGATTGAATTTTAAAATCTTCTGAATGTTTCACTTTTATAAAGACAACAGAACAAGCACACAGCAAGAACATAATATAGCCCAAGCTAAACACCTCTAATTTTAATTGATTAGAGCAGGAAAAGTTACATGTATCCTTCCGTATCCCACTGAAATCAGTGTGACTTAAAGGAACTTAACTTTGGCTGGATCGGGCCCCAAGAACAAAGCAATATTACTTTGACGTTTGCAAATCATGCGACAGATTTACCTCAGAATCAGTCGCAGAAGTTGAGAAGCTGCTCAGGCAGATCTTTTAGTTCTAAATATATACCGATTTTTAAAAACTATTTCATCCAATGTAGAATCAGGGTTTCTCTCCTGAGAAAATTCACGATAGCAAAGTGCTTCTAAGAAGAAGCAGATACTTGGAGGTTGTAAAGTACAAAACTAACTTTACACCTTTGCAGTGTTAGGGAATCCTAGAAAGTATATGGGGGAAATAAGGAAACAGTATTATCAAATGAAGATCACCCATTTTAGCTTCACACGGGTGGTTAAATAAACACCACACCTTTGCAGCATTAAATGTCAATCCATCACGCAGACATTTTCAGTAGCATTCTCAGTTTTCCAAATATAATCAATGCACATTTGTCAGCTGAACAGCGAGTGTATATGAGTCTTTTATTTTCTTTCGCTGTTCAAAGCAAAGCTGAAATGTATCAAGGTATCACCAAGCATCTAAATGATGAAGTGGATGTAAACATTTTTGCAGACATAGGTTGTTGCTTTTAGCACTCTAAAAGTAGAAGAGTATGCAGTAAAGTATGCTTTGGAACATCATTAAATGTCCATATCATTAGAAATATTTCACCATTTTCCAAGAGAAAATGGTATGTATGTGACATAAAAGCACTTTCCCCCACTATACCATGTTGGTACATTTTTTTCTTGAAAAGCAGCAACAAATATTCCTTCACGTTGTTTACAGAGATCTGCTCTTATCTGCCGTTTATACAATTATTGCTAAATAAACCACTTCTAAACCCTACTTGGGATTGCCTAGCATCATACTGCTTCTACGGCAGACTAAACACCAATTTACAAAACTATTATCAAACTATCAAATTCAACAGGTTGAATATAAACTGGGTTTTAAAAAAGGCATTTTTTAAAATAAACCCAGTTTTTTTAAAATGTAATTTTCAGTGTTGGGATACATCCATATCCACCTTGTTTTATAAACTGTGCATCTTCAAGTAGAGATCTATTTTTCAAATAAACCCTTTGCTACCTTTTATCCGAAAAGGTAACACAAGCTATAAAACGGTCCCAGAACACAGCTCTCTTAAATGATCGAATAATGCCCTTAGTTATTAAGACTTTGAACTCCTAATTCCATACTCCTGTTAACTGTCCTCAAAGTAGCCAACATGTGTCAAACTTGTTCTTCTCACTAGTAATCCTTTGTTACTCAGTAACACTAAGAGAGATTAAGAGGAAAGTATAAGAAATGAGGGAATCTTCATTACAGGTTTTTTCTTCAAATGTATTGGCTTAGAAATAGAGCGGCCTTGTGAAATTTGCATAAGGAAGCAATCTTAACCCAGAGATATTGGCTGAAATGAATTATTGATTCCGTTCAAGAGACAAATTTAGAATGTCACTAAGTTTAAAATTCCTAGAAAGCAGACATTGCTTAACTGACATGCACTTCGTACAATAGATACCTTTGTACAATAGATACCTTACAGGTAGAATGTGAAATCTCAGGCAGAATGGCAAGTGCTGGCGTACAAGTATGCAACACTGGAGATTTAACAACTGAAAGAAACTCCAAAGTTTTATAGTTTTATAAATAATTTTTTTGGCAACGCCCCCCCCCCTCCCCGATGCTTCAAATACTATATCTGGAACTCAGGACACTTCCAGAAGTTCCTTGTGCAACCAAAGTTACAAATAAGATTTTTACTTAAAACCCAAAGAGGAGATTAAGAGGGCATACACAAAACTTTTCATTCACTAACCTTCCTACAGACACATCTGACAGTTTAATTTGTCCATGGCTGCCTGCTGTGGAAAGTTTTAACTGATAGAAGATATAGCATAGAAACAACCGAATTAAATAAGAATGGATGTGTTCATTCCAAGCATCTCCCAAAACTTGTCTAACCACCATATACATACCGTGGCCTTGATGATACATGAGGCAACAATTAAAACACAAACTTGTGCCCTCTATATCTTAGGCCTCTGACAGACTGACTGCTTAATTCTCAGAGATGGAATAAACATTTCCATCCCAACTGCAAAAAGTCTTGAGGTGATTGAGTGAGCCGACATAAACTTATCTCAGACAACTCTGGACCAGGTGGATTTTGCTGCTTTGGTAAGAGACTTTGCCCTGAACATCTTTGCAGCAGAACACACTTCCCTGAGTGAGATTCTGCTTTACTTTGCGCCTGTCACTTGACTTTCCACTCTGATTTCACATGATATCTTTAATGGTAACTGTGGAGACAGCATTAGCAATCTGCCGGCACCGTCTCATCCTTCCTTTACGAGGAAACAGGACAGCTTTGGGAAAACCTTTAATCTCAGGCAGACTTTAGCTTTTTATGACATCCGGCAGCTTCTCTCCTTTCTTTTTTGGATTAGGATAATTATTCCTCTGCCATTTATAGAACGCTGGTCCCCTTAGAGAATCAGAGCAGCGTTAGCACACTCCCTAACTTTCAAAAAACACAACAAACCTTGGCAGGAAAAGCCCATTCACAGCAAGGGCGAGAGAAACGGTAGCTGCCAGGTGCAGCCTGTCCCCAGACTGGGGGCCTTTTTTATTGCTCCCCCCCACCAACTGCACAAACCCTGCTTCTTCGCTTAAAAAATACAACCCCGTGAGGTGAAACGTGATCAGATGAGATGCCATTATCCTCACACCTTGTTAAAAAGCAAACAAACGACCAGCTTGCAGCAAGACTACATACTTACCCTGTCACAAGCAACTGGGACGGAGATTATAGTTATCATTTTATTTTTTTAAAAGGAGACAAATGAAAAACCTGCAATCTGGAAACCTTTCAGAGTCTCAGACTAGTCCAGTCCCCCTCCTCCACTTTCACCCATTTTACGAATCATGTGATAATTTTTTTACCTCTGACAGGGTCAAAGGAATCACCTGCTAGAGATGTTTTGACTTGCGCTGCGGAATCTGGTTGTGTTGATGCCAGCACATGGGAAGGAGGGAGAAAAAAGCTCTTTCTCTTCCCATCACTCTTGGCTTTAGCCCTCCGCAAATAATCCCCCACGTAAAATATATACTGTAATCCCCCCCTTTGCAAGCGCACTCCGCCAGCCAGACATTTACCTGCCTGTTTGGGTGGTGGTGCGGGGAGGATTTCGGAGGTAAACGCAGGTGGAGTGAAACAATTGAGACAGCCCATCCCCGAAACCAGCCGCCCAGAAGATGCTCGGGGGATGCCACATCCGAACAAGAGTACCAAAAAGCCATCCCTTCGTCCCCGTCCCCGCAGTAAGTCGGCACAAGCAGGACGTCCCCCGCCCTGCCAACCTCTCCAAAATCAAACCAGGAACCGAACAGATGCAGAAGGCGAAGGCAAAAGGGAAATTTTGGGAAGGGGTGGGGAGTGATAAAGAGCAACGCTTACCTTTCCTCTTCGACCGCCTCCTCCGCCTCCTCTTGGACTTGCATTTCAGTTGGCTCCCCGGCCCTCCCGGTGCTCGGCCGGTGCCCAGGACGGAGGTCATCGCCGGTAGTTGAGGCAACAAGGAGAAGCAGCGGCAGCGCGTTGGCTCCGCGCTCGCCTGGCTCGGGGACCGCGCAGCGAGTGCGAGAAAAGTCGGCTGGCTGCCTGCGACGCCCCCTCCCTGCTCCCGATCGCCCGTGGTGGTGGTGCTTCTGTCGCCGCCGCCGCTTGCGAGGTCTACGAAGCCGGGTGGGACTTTTATGAACCAGCAAACCCAGAGCAGCTGCGCGCGGATCGTGCGCCTCTTTTTAATTTTTTTGCTTTTGGCCAGCTGCGCTCAAGTGCCTGCGCTGCGACACTTCCCAAGCCAGGGACGGAGAGCGCGCCGGGCGCAGGTAGAGTTTCCAAATAAATGAATTAAAGGCGACGACCGGGAGGCTCACCTGTGATTCTCTCCCTCTTCTTCCTCCTCGGCAGCTTTCCCTCACTCGCAGGGTGCATTTGCTTTATCAGGGGCTGGAAATGCACGGCGCCCACTTTTTTTCCTTTTTTTTCTCTCTCTCCTTTCTTTCTGTTTCTTTCTCTCGCTCTTTTTTCCCCTCTCCCTTTTTTTTTTTTTTGCACCTCTCTCCTAGTTGTTTGGCCCCAGCAGCCACTTTGAAGGCGATCATGCAGGGAGCGCGTCTATTTGCTGCTGCAAAGTCTAATTAGATCCAATCACAACTGTCTCCTGGCTCTGACATCAGCAGCACCACCAGCAGAAGCGCGCACCCCCCCTTCATCCCTACCACCAGCCACCCCCGGTCTCCATCCATCCATCCCTTGTCAGCTTGCACACTCAGCTCCCATTGGGGCTGATGGATGTGTCCGGGACCTGATAGGGAAAGAAGGCAGAACGGGCCCGGAGGGGAGTTGTTGTAAAGGGAATAAAAAGAAAACACAAAAGCCCCACCGGCAGCCTGCCGGCCGGTGTACTACTACAAGCCGGCGGGAGAGTTTATTATACAGTCCGATCCGATGCATCCTCCCCAGTAACGCACCGCTGCCCCATTTGGGAAAGAAGCGCGTCCCGCGGAGTTGATGGTTTTTGTGCGCGTGCGCCTTACTCCCGAGTAAACGCGCAAAGAGATTTTCAGTCTGATGGTGCCGTTCTTCGCACGTCTTAAGTCCCACTGCGTTCTACGAAACTTACCCGGGTGCAAGAATGTAGCCATGAAAAGGACAGTACACAAAAAATGGCCAAAAATCCCCAGCAACACCCCTTTCTTTCAGTGCTTAGTTTACTGCAAACTCTTTTTTTTTTTTACTCCCCTCTTGCAATTTATTTATTTTTACGCATATGTTCCACTATGTTCCAAGGAATTCAGTAAAGTGCCTGAGTTAGTGGCTTTACAAACCGCAGTACCAGAAAGTGCAATCTTTCGCTCAGTCACCAAACAAACCCCAAACCAAAACGCCTTCCTATGCAGTTTCATTCCTAGGCTTGTTTACTGAGAAGTAGATCCCACTATGTTCAGTGGGATTCACTCTCAGGTAAACGTATAAAATACTTAATAAATGATACTGTACCAAAATAAAAACACACACATAATCCTTCACACAGCATGTCTGAATAGACACACATAATTTTCCTCGGGAAGGGTAAAACTGGATTAGATGGATGGGGTGCATGCGGGGAGAATATGGCAGCATAGGAATAATAGAATCTTAGATTTATGGACTTGGAAGGGATCCAAGGGGTCATCTAGTCCAGCCCCGTGCAGTGCAGGAATTGCAGCTAAATAATCCCCAATAAGGGGGCATCCATTCTGTTTCAGAACATCCAATGAAGGCGGAGCTGGATTAAACCCTGTGGAGGCCCCCAGGCAGTCAAAGTCTTGGCGGCCCCCTTGCAAATTATCTCCTAAAACTAAGAAAGCTCGATTGTAATTTTCTTGCAAGATCAAATCAAAATTATTCCGATCCATTGTTGTGGGGCCCCTAATAGGTGTGGGGCCCATAGGCTGGTGTTGAACTCTGCCCCTTTGGTAATCTGGAACTGACTGAAGGAGAGTCTCCCACCTTCCTTGGGAGTCTGTTCCACAGTTAAACAGCTCTAAGGAAAATGCCTTACATTGAGTTCCATCTAACTCACTATCATCTACACAGGCTGGTAGTGGTTCTCCAGCGTTTTATGCAGCTCTTCTTGGAGATGCCACCAGAATACTTTCTGCATGCAAAGCTGGTGCTCTTCCACTGTGCAGGGCAGTAAATGATAAGCAGAGTTGTTGGTCATTGGCAGAGTTACAACAGAAGACCCTCTAAGTGTCCCTATTGTCCTTGATAGTTGTTTATTTCCTTGACATCTGATGGGAGGGTGTTCCACAGGGTGGGCACCACTACCGAGAAGGCCCTCTGCCTGGTTCCCTGTAACCTCACTTCCCGCCAGAAGGCCCTCGGCGCTGGATCTCAGGCTGGACCTCGGGCTGAACGATGGGGGGTGGAGATGCTCCTTCAGGTATACAGGACTGAGGCCGTTATGGAATGGGACATCCCTATTTTAATTGGAGAAATGTTGGAGGTTATGCAACAGTCTAGTACAAACCTCTAGGCCAGAGGTGGGAAATGTTGTTGAACTCCAACTCCCACCAGCCACAGCGGCCAGGTATGATGACAAGAGTTGGAGTCCAGCAGCATTTGCAAGGTGACAGCTTTCCCATCACTACTCCCATCTGCTTTATGTGTTTTTTTTAGCATGGGAAACAGGATGGGCTGCTGGTTGGGGCTGATAGGAGATGTAGCCCAATGTGCCGTGCAAAAGGCTGTGCAACGGCTGGATGAGGATTCATGTGTTAACTGAGGTCATGTAATTGCCTCTAGAAGTTTGGAGGCTGTGGTCGTTGGCATGATTGGGGATGGTATAAATTCCAACCCTCCTCCTCCTCCTCCTCCTCCTCCTCCTCCTCCTCCTCCTCCTTCTTCTCCTTCTTCATTCATTTGCCCCTCCATCCATCGTCTTCCCAGTCTCCCTCCCTTCTCCCAGCTCTTCCCCCTTGTGGTGCTGTTGGAAAAAACAGCTGCCAGTTTCACTTCTGAGGTGAAACAGTGTCAAGTCAGGATTCATTAAAAAAAGGAATGGAGACGTGTCCATTTCACCACTGCCATGCCTTTTCCTTTCCATGTGGTGTTGTGCAGATGTTGCGAAGCAGCAGCAGCAGCAGCAGCAGCAGCAGCTTGCTGGCACAACTAACACCCATCCATCAAGGGATACCTACTTGGAAGTACCCTAGATCTACTTACTCCATTCATAAATAAGTCCTACTGTCTTCAGTACAGCTTGTGCACAGGTATGTCTGAACAGGGCTGCAGCCCTAGATTCCTTTAATTCTCTATTTTGACACAGCTAGGGAGGAAATGTGCTATTCTGTACAGAACAGGGTGACCAGGGTTTTTATTATTATTATCAAAGGACAAGGCTTATTTGCCTTCAGTGTCCAGTGAGATTCCAGCTGGTGCCAGATGTCTTGCTGGGGTGAGGAAAGCAGCACCCGTTTTGAAATAACAACAACAACAACAACAACAACAACAACAACAACAACAAAACATTTATATACCACTAGACTGTAATAAAGCCTTAAAGTGGTAGGAAAATAATAAAATACAGTTAGCAGGGGGAACAGTTAAAAGCAAGTATTTAAAACATTAGAAAATAGTTAAAAGCAACAATAAGCTAAAACTAGATGAAAAATATGACAACTTCTACATGCCTGGGTAGGCTTGCCTGAACAAAAATGTTTTGAGCAGGTGCTGAAAGGAGTAGTGTCCTCAATAGGTAGGGAGTTCCAAAGTATGGATGCTGCCACACTAAAAGGATTGCTTTCTTACAAATTCAGAACGGTATGGCTTACTAAACCATAGTTTATGGCTTAGTGCTATATACAAACATGGCCGATGAGCTGATAAGGGAAATCTTTTTTGGTTTTGCTTAGTTCAGAGCAACGGATGAGGGAAAAAAAGGGAGATGAAGAGGTTCTAAACTGCTGTGTTTAGGAAACCGTGTGATTAGTTGATGGGTACGGAGAGGCTTAAGCAAGCCAAGAAAGAAGGACAGAGAGCAGGAAAACAGCTGTCGACTGAGAAACTCAGAAACTCAGAAATATAAACGTTGGCAAAACAAAAGTTAGGCAACAGATTTAAAGGCACAGAGGGCAGCAAAACTGGTTTCCCCTTTAACCAGTCTGCTACACCACTGCTCTTTCCCAGGGGGCACCTTTGGGATTCTAGGGCTGAACCAAACCAAGTAGAAATATCCTCACACAAACAGTCACAGCTCAAATTCGCTTGCCTATGAAATTTCCCCGCCATCACATTACTCCATTGGGATCCTGCAGGATTTAAGAATGTTAGAGAAAAGGACACTCAGCAATCAAAGATCAGGGAGGACAGGGATCAAGCTAGACCTGTTGGCATTCCTTCCTCCACATAACTATTTGAGGTACTGAATTCTGGTTTAGTGCCAGATCCCACAACCGCAAGGCTGGTCAGAAGATACTGGACCACGGAGAGCAGCAAATGAGCAACTTGTTCCAACATATTGGGAGCAGACTGGGTCATTTAAGCCAGTGTCTCCAGACCACCTCTTCCAGGCTCCCTTTCAGAGCCTTAAAGGGGCATCCCTATGGCTTGAAGATGGCCACTTCTCCATTCCATAGCCTCCTTGCACTGCTGGACTGGTCATGTGCAGTGCAACCTTTGGGGGAGGCAAGATCCATGTCAGTGGTGAATGTGACCACCCTACGATCTTGTGCAGTATGCCCCGCACCCTATAGTTGATCAACTGAGCAGCGGGGTTATCAAGCAGGGCACAGTGGTGAGATTTATACATTCCTGTCCATGCAGCAAACCTTTCTGATTTGCTCTCTCTTGTTGCTGCCACCACCAAGGTCAGTGGGGTCTTGAGGGGGCAGGAAAAATTGCTTGAGCCAGGGGTTAGCCACCCCCTGCCCTGCCCTATATTGTATTGTTCTTGTATCATTGATCAGCTGGACTGGAGGGATGATGGCACAGAATTTTTCAAAACCATTCCAACCTGGTGGAGGAAAAGCTGTTAGAACCTGTTTTGCAACCGTTCTATGAGGTGAGGGAAGCTGTCAGTTCAGCTGAGGTAAAAACATCACATAGGATCTGGAGATAGGAGTGGTTTTGAGGAGCAGTTTGATTACTGAGAAGTGATCCCAGCAGGTAAAGAAGGCAAGGGCCACAACTGAGGAAGGGGGTCAATGGAGACAGCTTTCAGAAATACAGGAACTTGAGGAAAAAGTAGGTGAGTGAGAAGGCTATTTTGGGAGAAAGAGATGAGGAGAATGGAGACTGAGGCAATTTCACATCCTGATTTGAGTTAAAGAGTCAGTAATTAGGTTGTGGGTTGTTGTTGCTGTTGTTATAGGAGAAAATGAGGGTGTGCAGTCTAATGGGCACAACTATTTGGTAAATAAATAGATCCTTACAATATGTACTGTTTTAATCATCAGTTCCCATGAAGCCAAATTCAGAAGACTGCATTTTAAGTTTCAGAATTCTAACCAGGGAGAAGGTGGAAATGTTCAACACCTACTTAGCCTCAGTCTTCACCCAAAGGGAAAGCAGGGCCCAACCTTGTGATAACAGAATAAATGATGCAAGGAGGGAGCTGCAACCCAATACAGTGGTACCTCGGGTTAAATACTTAATTCGTTCCTGAGGTCCGTTCTTAACCTGAAGCACCACTTTAGCTAATGGGGCCTCCTGCTGCCGCTGCACCGCCACTGCATGATTTCTGTTCTCATCCTGAAGCAAAGTTCTTAACCCAAGGTACTATTTCTGGGTTAGCAGAGTCTGTAACCTGAAGCGTATGTAACCCGAGGTACCACTGTATAGGGAAAGAGGTGGTAATAAGGTGCCAATGAATTCAAATATCCTGGGCCTGATAAGCTGCACCAATTTGATAAGTCTGATAAGGGCCTGATAAGCTGCACCCATGGATGGTCATCTGTTATGTGTGAACCAGTTGAGATTCCTGCAATGTAAGGTGGTTGGTCTAGATGACCCTTGGAGTCCTTCCCAACTCTTACAATTCTATGTCATGAAGCACCTGTCAAAGTACTTCTTTATCCATCTCCTTAAAGAGCGATATTGGAAGCAAAATCTGCAAACTCGGAGGCAAGGAAAATTATGCTAAATTATTCACATTCTGATTAATCTTTCCTCTGCCTGCACTCAGTCTTGTGAGAACAGCCGGGCCATGTTCATTGGGGCCCTCCCTTTAGCCTAAAAAAATAAATAAATAAAGTCAAAACTCTCTGGTCTCAATCTAGGTCATCTCCCCTGATGTGAAATGGTTTACTCTTAGTAACTTTCTGGTTATTACAAACTTGTTATTTCAAGTCCTCGATGCCCGTGAAGCTTCGCTGAGTTCTTCCACCCCTCGCGCAAGCTTTCATTTGAAAGTAAAATTGTACTTGCGTAGTTTGGGGACTTTGTTGCTCTTCTGCATCTGCGCAGACAACACAGGTCCTATCCGTGTTGGCTCAGGAAGAAGTCCAATTGATTTCAGAGGAAAGGGAATGAGCCTCGTTGGTTTTTTTATTTTATTTTACAAAAAAAGTCAAATGTAGCTTGTGTCCTACTTCAGAGGCCTGTCCTGTATTTGAAGAGCCTCCCAGTCCCAAGTCTAATTTCAACACAAGAAAGCTTTAAATGACAGAGTGGGACCTTGAAGGTGCTCATCAATGGTTAGTTAGCAGCATCTGGTCAGCAGACTGAGCAGACACATAAAACACCTGGTGTCCTTCAGTTATGGTGAGAGGCATTGCATTGCTACTGAAAAATCATAGCAATTATTTCTAAAGTTGTGCCTAAACAAATAAATTACTACATGCACATATTACACAAATTGATGTCCTCTTTTATTTTGGTGACATAAATCTTCTTTTGGGTGTGTGTGTGGGGGGGAGAATGTATAGCTGGTCAGCCAGGAAACTTGTGTGTGTGGACCCATGATTCCTTTGTGGCCATTTCCACACCATACTTTTAAAGCACCACTTTAAATAGTAATGGCTTCCCCCTATGAATTCTGGGAGCTGTGGTTGGAAAGGGAGCTGAGAGTTGTCAGGATACCTCTATTGTCATCCCAGAGGTACAGTTTTCAGAATGGTTTAAGAATCAGCCCCTCTTCACAGGGAACACTGAGAGTTGAAGTTATGAGAGGGGAATTTAGGGGTCTCTTCAGTTCTGCATTATGTGCATTAACATGCTGTGTGGTTTCTCTCTCTCCACAAATGGTGTTATATTAAAAGAGCTGTTCTTACTCATTCTCCTTGTGGCCACCTCTTCACGATGTTTTTCAGAAAAGCAAAGTTTGATCCCCATTTTTGGAAATGCTCTGATGCTACCCAGATCTCTTTCATGTTGAGTGCACTAATAATAATAATAATAATAATAATAATAATAATAATAATAATAACATTTATTATTTATATCCTGCCCATCTGGCTGGATGCATCAAACATTAAATGCATCAAACACTAAAAGCTTCCCTAAACTTTCCTAAACAGGGCACATATTGCTGGTGAGGCAAAAACCAGCTGTAAAAAGAAACATGGAAGTCCTTATTTTGGTAAGACCGGAGGTTAATTTGGGGCAATGTTTCAGTAAAAGAGTTAACTGAAGCCAAATTGCATAGCCTTGTCTAGTGGCTGGTGGGGCTGTAATGTTCAACATGCAATTTCCCTCTTCTGGAGTTAGAAAACAATTTCCCTTTGATCATGGATCTGCCCTGAATGACTAGATTTGGTAGTCTCCAAGGCAACACGAAAAGCAAAGGTACCTGTGTTTTGTACATAAGGGGTGGCAGGAGGGAGGGAAGCACACATTCCAAAATCCACAGGTGGTTGATACAAGACAAAACTTCTCAAATGCGAGCTGCTGTGGCATAGTGGTTGGAGCGTTGGACTAGGACCTGGGAGACCAGGGTTCAAGTCCCCGCTGAGCCATGAAGCTCACTGACTGACCTCGGGACAGTCACTGCCTCTCAGCCTAACCTATTTTACAGGGCTGTTGTGAGGATTAATGGCCTCTTACCTGGTCCAGAGGTGGGCAGCATTTGCCACCCAGTGGCCCCTCACACACCCTGGGGACAAAATGACTTCACCATGTTGGAATGCCTCCATGGCCGGCTGCCATCCTGGAGTTTGAAATTGCCCTATCAGGGGCAAGCTGAGGGGTGGAGTCTGGATGGCAGGCCAGAATGGAGAAGTCTTCACTCAGGTCCGCCACCTGGGAATAAAGGCCAGCTGTGTCCAAGCATGGCACCTCAGGCATGTCCCTGCTTAAGTGTCAGCCCTCCATCTGGAGGCTGATACTGATTATGCACGCAATACCAGAGTCAAAGCCTACCTACATCTGTAATCAATAAATGTTGCGGCCAATTTTAAATTGTTTACCTGGGTTTCCCCCTTCTGGGAGTGGGGCACTGCAAGTGAGTCTACAAAGGAGGAGGGGAGAACTATGAATGGGATAGAAATACAATAGACTTTTGAGCTCTCTAGAACTTTTCATCAGTCGGGAAGAAAAACAGTGTAGGGTGGGTGGGATGAAGCAAAATGCCAAAGCGCAAAAATTAGGCTGGTAATTATTGATTGAGTGAGTTTATATACCGCCCTATACACGGAGGTCTCAGGGCGGTTCACAGAAATGATCACAACATATATAATCAGAATAAAAACAACAACCCAATAACACACACACACACATCAGAAAAGAGCCACATTTTAAAAGGGTTTAGGATGACTCTGTGCCTTCAGTTTTGCCTGGCAGTTCACCCTGTTGCCTCACTGGGTGGGAGGTGGGGTGGCGCAAGGGGAAAGAAGCTGAGGTCTCTAGACTTTATGAGATAAAGGATGCCGAAGAGCACTGAAGCAGGGCCGAAATGCAGTCCTGAGCTCATACAGGTGAGACACCAGAGCTTCCTGCTACAAAATTCCTGCATTAATCCACTCTTGCCCTACTTTCTCCCAAAGAGCTGCTGACGGTGTGACTATTTGCAGAGAGAGCGCCTATAGCTCAAGAGGCCAAGCATCCAGGGGTTTCAGGAAAGAAAGAAGGGAGCGGATCCATACCCACTGGTTAACATTTGTCATCTGGAAGAAGGGGAGAAATTACTCAGCGCCAAGCAAGCCAAGCAAGCCTTTCTCTCTTTGAAGTTGATCTGATTCTGTACATCAAGTGCATTGTTAGGTTCCCCCCACACTCTTTTTGCTGCAATTGCAATTTGCAGGGTTTGAGGCTTTGATAAAGACCTTGTGAACTCTCATTAACCTGCAAGCAAAATTCAAAGAACGGAAGAGGGGGGAAGGAACGTTCTGGAATAGTAGCTGCCGGGGCTGCAACAACAGGGCAGGTTTAAACTCTGCAGTCACCTGCTCCTTTCTCTGAATGAAAGCTTTTTCACTTTCCTTGGCATTTTTGTATGAAATAAAAAAAAGGGGACAGTACAAGAGAAGTTAAGTAAGCTCAAAGTACGGAGCATGCAGACAGAGTGATGCACTTCTCGCTGGGAGGCCCTTATAATTTCAAACTAACAGAATGAACTTCGCTGGTGGACACAATATTAGAGGAAGGCAGAAGCAGTGGAAAATGAAAAGCTGCAGTGAAATGGCAACTTTGTCATTGCTTCTCAAGTGATAGGAAGCTGTAGGTAAGAAGGGGAAACTTTTCTTTTTTCTTTTTGCTTCGTCTGTTCCTCTCAGGGCAGCCTTCTGGGGAGCGCAAGCCAAAGTGGGTGGAGGAATGAGTATAAATGTTACCTTTGAGCAGTTGGCTGGCTTTTCTGCACACACTCACATGCCCTTCTGTGTCCTACCTCCCGGAAGAACCACTCAATGAAGGTGTGAAGCAGGACCAATAATGGGATGCATCCTGGGAAGCATCCTGATCAGTGTCGAATTTAAGTATAAGCTAAACAAGCTATACCTTAGGCCCCCACTCTCTTGGGGCCCCCAAAAACATTTAAAGGAAATAAACTGGATGTACATTTCCAAAATATAAGATAAAAAACAAATAAAATAAAAGAAGAAGAAGAGTTTGGATTTAATATCCCGCTTTATCACTACCCTAAGGAGTCTCAAAGCAGCTAACAATCTCCTTTTCCCTTCCTCCCCCACAACAAACACTCTGTGAGGTCTGTGAGGCTGAGAGACTTCAGAGAAGTGTGACTAGCCCAAGGTCACCCAGCAGCTGCATGTGGAGGAGTGAGGAATCGAACCCGGTTCACCAGATTACGAGTCCACCGCTCTTAACCACCACACCATGCTACACCACACAAACCTACATACAGCAAGTGTTTTGTGTTGTGTAGGCTCCTATAATGTAAGTAATGGGTCCCGCCTGCTAGCCTGCTCCCTAAAATATCACTGGTTTGCTCATTGGTATGTATAGGGTGCCTACATTCTGCATGTGCAAATGGCTTTAGATACCTATTAGATCCATAAATTACCATATAGTATATATTCAACACAAAAAACCAGTGACAATTTGTTGTTGACAAAGGACAGCTGGACATATAAAGGGCCCCATTACCTTCAGTAGCTTAGGGCCTCATCAAAGCTAAATCCGGCCCTGATCCCAAGTCATACAGAGGGGCTTGGTGGGCAACATTTGGCCCCCCAGGGCTAAGGTGCCCCACCCATGCTTTGATGGAGAAGACCATCACCCAATCAGGTGGGGTGTAACTAGGAGCCACCCAACACCAGCGATCCTTAAAGACACATCTTGTCATATTTAGCTACAAGCTGAACAAAGCATTTGATAAAGGCTTTTCTCTTCAGCTGAGCACATGCAAGCAAGAGAAATAACTCTCGGGTCAGTGGGTACAGCTCATCAGTTGCACTCCCTGGGGACTGAGTATATCACAGGAACGCAAGAGAGTTTTGCCTGCTCAGTCCAGCCGGTGTCTACAGGAAGCGGGTCAGCAAAATGCTGTGGCCCACAATATCAGAGGCAGCTGACAGGTCAATAGGATTACACAGGGACACTTATTATCCAAGCATGGCTACAGCTGTGGTTCCAGTCACACAAGTCTAATCTGTCTTGGGAGTTTTACCTGGTTGAACTGGTGGGAAGATGGGGAGTCAGAAAACCTTCATGTTCTGGAGAACTCCAAGGCTGCATTCACATGGCAGACAGGCTTGCTAAAAAGAGAATTCTGGCTTACTACCTCCATGATTTTCCTGACAGCATATCGGCTGTCACCAGAAATGTAGCTAAATTTTGTACAATAGCCATAAGTCAAAGAAAGAAGATTATACAGCTCCACAAACAGCTCACAGTCAAATTCTTCTGTTTTTTAAAAACAAAACTTTTAATAGAGTATATATTTCCTTGGATACGTATTTTAAATCTATTTAATTAGTATATTGATTGTTAAATTCCACTTGGACCGTTTTAATGTTTATGTAAAAATTATGCTGAAATTCTGGTTTTGCTATGCTGGCTGCTTAGCCATAATAATAATAATAAACAAACATATCTGCTGTTATCCCCCTTTCTCTTCACAACGACCCTGCCAGGGTGCAAGAGAGTTTGTAATTTGGGAAATGCTTTGCTTTCGAAGTATTCAACTAGTCCTGCTTACAGCTTAGGAATGTGCCACACTCACTCTTGGCGCACACTTAAAAATAAAGCTTCAGTTGTGTGCTTGAAGCAGATATTGTATGAAAAAGACTCTTAAATAAAAAGACAAACTGGACAGACTCAAGTCAGGGTCAAGTCAGGAGAAAATGATTCCCCAAACTCTGCCAACCAAAGATGTTATAGTTCAACATGGTTTTAATCATTCCCTCCCACCCAACCAACCCCCCACGCCGGTACTAAATCAACTTCATTAGCATCATTCCTCAGGATTACAGGCTAAAGCACTTTCAGGAAAACGAAATTCTACATCAGTGCCTGGCTCAGATTCCATCCATTTTTCATCCCAGAGATGTATTGGTATCTTATATAAAGATGCCTTATTTAGAACCTAAAATTTATTTTATGCTTTCCTGTTGACAACCTGAGGCACTGGGTGGGGGAAAAATAGCTGAACAAAGGGTCGTCTGTAGATATTTCATGTTTGCTGACTCACTAGATCATCTCCCATGACACTGAATTATTGGTTTCAGCCAACACCGAAATACCAAGAGAAAGCTTCTCTTCTCTTTTATCTTCTTCAATTGTTCTCGGGTTTGAATGACTCACAACTTTTGAGAAAATCTCAACAGAAATCTCAAGAAAACAAAACTGTACATGCACTCAGGGGGATACAAGCAAAGGAAGCTGCCTTTTTGAGAACCGGAGCACTGCTCCATCTAGGGCAGTGTTGTCTACTCTGGCTGGCAGTAGCTCTCCAGGGTTGCAGCCAGGGGTCTCTCTCAGCCCTACCTAGAGATGCCATGGACTGAACCCGAAACCTTTTGCATGCAAAGCAGTTGCCCTGAGCTATATTCTCACACCCTAAGACCTTTTACTGAAGAAATTTGCGAAAATTAGGTTTCACCCCCTAAAATGACACGTCCTACAGCTTTCCCCAGCTGTGTCTGGAGTTGCCAGGGATCAAACCTATGTTCTGCCACTGAACTATAATAGTTTGCAATCTTTGAAGCAGGCATGGCAACTCACAAATGACCTTGAGGACTTCCGGTTGGTCGCCCGTTATGGCAGACAGGAGCTCTTTCACAGAAAGGGCGCCGGTGCTTTGAAGGCAGGGGAGAACCGCTAGAGTGCTGTGGTACCCCAAAAACCCCTCAGATCGAGCGTTCTGAGGACCTGGTGTTCCTGTGGGTGTCTGGAATGACTCCCCTGCTCCCCGGTAAGCTCTAAAAAGAGTGCCGGGTGCGAGTGGGGTTGGAGACGGACCTTGAGGCCTAGTTGCATCTCACATCAGCCATGAGGAGGTACACTGGGCCTGTTGCCCTGGTGACTCAGCCGCCTCCACCCTGCTCAAGCCTGTCCTTGGCTGTAGAGCTCTGATGGTCTCACTGAGTTTGATGAGACTTCCCCTTCATAACCACCGAGTTCAGCAGTGCGACTGGTTTCCAAGTTAACATGGTTAGGACCAGGCTGTGAAGGCCTTCCCTTGGGAGCACCAGTTAGCCATAGCAACTGTGGTCAGAAACCTGGAGTCTTGGGCCCAGAGCAAAAAGAATAGCATATTTTTTTTTAAAGGCAGATAGAATTAATGGCTTGGTATGTTAATCAATGTGATAAATGGAACGGAGCTGCAGGAAACGTGTCAAGAACTTACCTGTGATGTTTAAATAAAGACAGGCTCGAAGAGGCATGCATTTCATTTAACGATGCATTTGAGCACTTCGCACTTGGGTGCCACTCATTTCTCTCCTTCTTTTGACTTACCAACAACTTGGCTCCCCCCCCTTTTGTTTTAAGTGATCCGTGTGCATGAAGCATTCCCTGGAAAGACATGTGATGGGTGTTTCAGTGGATTTGACGAGAAATGACATGGGATTTGGAAACGGCTCTCTACTGCCCTTGAGGACTGGGCTACCCTTAAGGATCAGAGTGACTGCAGCTTGGAGATTCTCTGTGAACTGCTAACTCAGGAGAATAAGGAGGCAGCAGATTCCCACTGGTTGCCCCCCATAGTCCGTTTAATTTGCCCTCCATCTCTGCCTTTCGTGTGGCACACCAGGGCTGAGATCCAGCCTAGGGGAGCATCTGCATGCTATGAGCTTTGGGGCTACTTTTGATGCAAGGTTGTTGGCTCTTTTCACTTGACCTTTATGCTCACTTAAATTTTGATAAGCTAAATGAACTGCTAAATTGTTGATATTCACCCATTAGTGTTATTTTGCAGTAATACTTTCTGTTACATATTGTTATTGCACTACTGTATTTAGACTGTTTTTTCTTTTTTAATGTGAGCTGCTTTGAGCACGGGTGTATTTGCAGAAAATATGGTATATAAATAATTGACTATGACTATTTATTTATGTTTAAAAATCATATCCTGTCCTTCTGATGCCCACATAACACTAAGGGTGACTGACAACAATTAAACCCAACAATGTAATACAACATGATTTTTTAAAAATGGCAATATAATAAAAACTCATTTGATAAAATGAATGCCTGCCTAAACGGTTTTCACCTCCATTGATACACCATAACAGACTGAGCCAACTGTCTTTCCTGGGGCACAGAGTGCCACAGTTTAGGTGCAGCCACAGAGAAGGCCCTTTTCCCCATCAGCTGAGCCTCTTATGTAGATGAGATGTAGAAAAGTGCAGACAAACTGGGATGGAAGAAGGCTGTTTCTAAGGTATTGCCACAGCTCTGTCAGGCAAGGAATGTCCAGAGTGAGGAATTAACTCTTTATTGTCAAAAGCACACTTACAAGTTAGGGAAAGGCATGTCCATCACCTACTCCTACTCCTAGGTGTGCACCTTATGAGGCAGTTGCCACAACAGAGAGGCCCCATCCTCAATCTCGGCTTATATATCTCCCCAACCTGAGTGGCACACAAGCAGGTGAAGGCAGGTGAAGACTCTGCCTCCTGCTCCTCCTCCTTCAGTCCTCACCTGGTCTTGGGAGACAATGGAGATGGGGAGGTGGGGGCAGGAGGAGAAGGAGATGTGGAAGCCCTTGACCCTCCACCAGCCTTACATATCTCTCCGTCCTCCTGTGCCTGTTCTTCCCTCTCCAATCCTGCAGCTTCTCCTGCCTCTGACTCTCACCTCCTGGCTGCTACAGGTTCCCCCAGTTCACTGATCCCTTCTTGCAAGTCAGTCTCTGACCCCCTTTCACCCACTCATCAGCATCCAACCACTACTCCTCAGTGTCCAGCCAATCCCTGACAGGTAGTCTGGAAGAACACCACTTAGAGCTTTAAAGATCAGCACCAGCATTTTGAGCTGGGCCCAGAAACAAATTGGCAACCAATTCAGCCCTTTCAGGACAGGTGAAATATGCATGATACATGCCCAACCATTGCTGTTCACCCCCGCTGCATTCTTTTTACTAATTCTTTCTTGGTACATGTAATAATTATAGGGGTTGCTCGTGCGTAAGTTCCCGCCACTCCTGGCTAGGTTGCCTGGTTAAACCTTTTCTGTCTGGACAGCCCTTCACTTCGTGGCTGTTTCAGTCGCTAGCAGAATCCGTCAGTGGGCGTTTCTTAAACCTTTTCCAGCATAAAAGCTGTTTGACGCCAAGTCTCCTCCTACTCTCCCTGTGCAGAAGTCTTCTGCGCAGGGAGGGTGTGGGTAGCGGAGGACCCGTGCTCTCCCCGTTGGTCTCCGGCGAAGAGTCCTGGAGCCCCCTCGCCGATTCCCCCATCTGCCCCCCTTTATCCCTGGTGTTACGCTGATTTCCTTCCCCAGCTGCTGAGCTGCCTCTCTCCCTGCTGGGCCCTTCTCCAGCATCGCTTGGGAGCCTTGCCTCCGCCTCTGGCTCCGATGTCAGTTCCCTGACAGTACATTTTAAAGGTAGTCCCATGTAGAAGGCATTGCAGTAACCAGTCCAGGTATAACTAAAGGCTTGTCTGACTTCACCAGGAACAGATGCTCTTGGTGCACCAACCCAAGCTGGGCAAAGGCTTTGAAGGCATTCCAGCTGAGGTCCCTGCCATCTTCATCAGAAGCCTTTCTTTGTTTAGTAGCTTCATCGCATGGAGCACCAAAGCAAGAACTCCTGCTTTGATCCTGAACTGAGCTGGTAATTCCCAGTAACAAACAGTTATTACCTCTACAGCTGAAGCTCAGATGGAGCAAACAACAACAACAAACCCCTCTTTTGAACGAGCGGTTTCCGATATTGCTGATGGCAGGAAGGAAAGCCAAAGACCACCCGTCTGATAACCTCCTTGACCTTCGCTTGCCTTAAGCAACTTCACAAATAATTTAGCAAACAGCAGGGAAGAGAGTGGCACCTTGACATTTTGGGCAAAGCAAGAACCAGCTCGGAGTTTGATGAACTGTGGCATATTTGCTGATGGTGGTGCTTAGAGTCACATTGGTTTCCAGGAGACAGTTTGCTGTGCCTTTGAGGTCCCCAGGAGAAAGCTGACGACTCCTCTGAAGGGATATCCATTGTGTTTGGCCACCATCCCCTCCCCCCCTCTTCCAGAGGACGGTCACAAGTGATCCATGTAAATTGCCGTTTGAGTGCAATCAATAGATGTGACAGGCAGCCCGACGCTGGCATCCAGGGACATAATGAAGGTGCGACTGTGTAAGCGGCTAACAGATAACAATGCTATCGCAAATTATAGGGCAGTGGTGTATTGAATAAGTGCAGTGCAAAATGAGCGGTGCCGCGCAGGTCATGCTTCCCCTAGTACCGAAGTGTCTTTCGCTCGTGTCCTTTGTAATTGCAAGTGGCAGCAGGGCCCGGCTGAATACGATGGTGGGGGGCAGGTGGTCAGCCCTCATTTATTCTGCATTACAATGCAATTCACGCTGTTAACCGCTCATCCGGCATGTGAGTGACCACCTCCCAAGTGGGCAAGACACGAATCTCATTTAAATCAAGAATCCCCACCCCCACCCGTTGGAGGACGAAAACCAGGCAAATTATTCCATTGTGTGCAATTTCTGCACCAAGAAAGCAGATCTCTCCCCCCCCCTTCACAAATGGCTCCTTTTTGGCACTTGCTCACCTGTCAGGGGTCAGACACACCCCTAACCAGGAATTTTAATAAGATTAGTAGCTCTGCTGGTGCATATGTTCATTAAATTAATGATTTCTGCTTTAAAGAAAAAAACCCAAAAGGTTATATGGAATGTTATTGGGTGCCTATTTGCAGCATCTCACAGTGTTGCTTAGGACTGTCCATTGACAGTGGACTTTTGAGTTGATTAAAAGCCTCCTTTTTTAATGGACTAGTCATTTAATTAAATTGATTCAATGCAAATGTCCATATAATCAGAACTTCAGTAGGGATGTCTTTCTGGAGAGAGTGAACGGTGCATAAGGGTTCCTTAGAATCTGATAAACAGGAGGTAAAGGTAAAGGGACCCCTGACCATTAGGTCCAGTCATGACCGACTCTGGGGTTGCGGTGCTCATCTCACTTTATTGGCTGAGGGAGTCATGTGCACAGCTTCCGGGTCATGTGGCCAGAATGACTAAGCCGTTTTTGGCGAACCAGAGCAGCGCACGGAAATGCCGTTTACCTTCCCGCTGGAGTGGTACCTATTTATCTACTTGCACTTTGACGTGCTTTCAAATTGTTAGGTTGGCAGGAACAGGGACCGAGCAACAGGAGCTCACCCCATCACGGGGATTCAAACCGCCGACCTTCTGATCAGCAAGTCCTAGGCTCTGTGGTTTAACCCACAGCACCACCCGCGTTCCCTTGAAACAGGAGTTACTACTGTTTAAAAAGGGCGCCACTTCTTATAGAAGTGTGTTTGCGGCATGAAATCCTATATGTGGGAGGGCCCTAAAAATAGCTTGGAAAGAAGGGGGAGGGTCGTAGCTCAGTGCTAGAGCAGCTGCCTTGCATGCAGAAGGTCCCAGGTTCCATTCTTGCCATCTCCAGGTAAGGCTGTCAGAGACTCCTGTCTGAAGCCCTGGAGAGCCACTACCAGATAGTGTAGACTAGGGTTTCCAAAATGTGGGTCTCCAGCTGGTTTTGGACTACAGTTCCCATCATCCCTGACCACTGGTCCTGCTTGCTATGGATGATGGGATTTGTAGTCCAAAAACAGCTGGAGACCCATGTTTTGGGAACCCTGGTGTAGACAATACTAGTCTGACTCAGCATAAAGCAGAGTACAGTGTTCCTAAGCAAATGCATAGAAATTAAAATATATAACAAAACCAAATTAGGTCTAGATTTGAGGGTGATTTTCTATGGTCAGAAAAGCAAGGTATATTGTTTATATGCTGCCTAGGCTTTAGCTGCGTTGCAGCCAACAGATGGTTGTTGTTTTCTTATTTGCCCCTTTAAAATTCATTAAGTGGAAAGTACCTGAACATACCTATTGATTCTTAATATTATTTCGGAATACAGCCCTGTGAGAATCCTTTCTTTATTTGGGGCCTGACATTTGAGTTGAGCGTCAGCAGTTCTGTTCTGAAAATCTCAGCTCCCCAAGCTTTTCTGGCCTGATTCCCATTTATAGGTTTACGGATTAAGTTTAACATTTGACCCTGATCAAAACAGAGGAGGAAAACTTAAGGCACTCTGTGTACTTAGCTGATATTTCATTATCACTGATCAATGCTGCCTGCCATTTATGAGTTTATTTCCCCTTCTTTCAAATGTCAAGCTAGTTTTATTTATGGTTTTCTCTGCCCATCTTAACGATGATATGTGGTGTATGTCCCGTTCATTTAAAACACTTGCTCAAAAGGCCATTTCTCAATCAATTTCTAAACTAAATGACTAAAAACCCATCCAGTGCTTCAAGACTGGTTTCTCACATCATTGCATTGTTGGCATCTGTCAGTCTTGGGAGGCAATGGAGGAGTGAAGTCAAGCTGCTGGAAGGTTGCAGTATCTGCTGTGGCTGTAGAGACCAATGTGGGAGAGACATGTTTTGTTGCAGCTGGGGCAGGTGAAAGCGTCCAGTTGTGCCACATAGCACAAAACAGCAATATTATAAATGGCGAAGAGGGCAATTGGAAATAAGTACAGTCTAATACAAGGGTAGCCACTGTCTATTTTCTGACACAATTCTATTCTCTAGGTCAGGAGCAGGGAACTTCTAGCCTGCAGGCTAATCTTGGGGGACCACAAGGCCATTTCCCCCCAAATCATACCTGCCCACTTCTCAGCTGATGGCACTCATGATGAACAGGAAGGCAGGGTTAAAGCCTATGACAGCTGTGTGTGCAGGGAATATGTGAATGAAGTCAAATGGAGCAGGATTCAACCAAATTTGGTCCATGAGATGCACCTGGCTTTTGGCACTGTGTGTGTGCATTTTTAGGACTCACTTTATTTCTGTGATTTTAAGTTGTTTTAAACTGTTTTTTAAAAAATAAAAAATAAAATATTGTGCTTTAATTGTTGTAATCCACTCTGGCACCTTAGGGTGAAGGGCAAGTAAATCATCATCATCGTAGTAGTAGTAGTAGTAGTAGTAGTAGTAGCAGTAGTAGTCGTCTGGGGGCATCAATTCAGATATGGCACCAAGGTATGCCCTGGTGTGACATCAATGTGTTCTGTGCCCTGTTCTTACTCCTTTCAAACTCCCTTTGATTAACAGCTTCCTGAATTTGGGCAAACCATTGTTGGTCATTACATCTGACACAGCAAACAATGGTGTCTGCAAGTACTTCAAACTGCAATAGGAACTAATGTGGAACCACACATTACCTCAACAAATACAATTTGTCAAGCAACCCCCCCCCTTTTTTGCCGACGTAACACAAACAGAGAGTGTGAAGGGAGCATTCTGTAAGACTGAATCAGTGCAAAAGGAAAGGGAGCTGCTTGACTGTTCTCTTGCTTGCCAATTCTCCCCTATAAATACTCCCCCTGAGTCAAGTCATTTTCTTCTCAGCTGGGCTTATTTCCAGGTTCAGAGACTAATATGGTGGAGGGGGGGGAGGACATTTGCTTGAAAGATTGGGTGGGTGGGTGAAGGTTTAAACACCTCTTTCTCCTTGCCAGTTCTCTGCCACAAATGCCCATCCCTGTCCCCCTGACCCGGCATTTTCCTAATGAGCAAAAATGCAGGCTCGGAACCCCTGTGATTTCCTCATAATGTGTGGTTCTGCCCTGTTAAACTGTAAGGGGAGTCATTTCCAGAATTCATTAAGGACAAATCCCCAAGGCCGCCTTTCTCAGCTGTTCCTGATGATCTCCATTACTGGGACAAAACAATGAGAGGCAATGCAAAGCTCGATCGCAAAAGCAAACAGACGATCAGCCAGTCACTCAGCAGCACCAGATTTCCTTTTCTGGTGCTTCTTGTAAGGACCTGGTGCTAAGACAGGACAGATGCAACCCTGTCTTACTCTTAAAATATAAGTTATTAATTGAGAGCTCAAGGCTCCAAGCATCTTATAAAAGTACAAAATATAAGAAAATCTTTCTTGCTTACTTGTACTCTATTTCCCACGGAGGTTCTCTACAGCAGGGGTAGTCAACATCATGCACTCTGGATGTGGTTGGACTCCAACTCCCATGAGGCCCACCCAGCATGGCCAAAGGTCAGGGATGATGGGTGCTCTGGTCTAACAACATCTGAATGGCACCATGTTGCCTACCTGTGCCCTACAAGGTGCAGCCTACAAGCAGCCAGTTGGAAGGGCCAGAGGTGAGTATGGAGTCTAGATTGGACCAAACTCAGCAAATAAAGTTGGCAGGGCAAGACGAAGGTCAAGGTCAGGCCGATTGTCCCAAAGCAAGGAAGACGGGATGAGAGACAGAGCTTTGCATGACTACTCTAAGCAACAGGAGCTGTTATTGTCCTGTTGCTGGAGTCCTTTGTTTGAGTTCCCTAGTACTGTTCACACCAATGCCTACACCCCTAAGGATGCTAACTAGGAAATAAGTCTCGCTGCACTCAGAGCTGAACCCTTACTGGCAGGGAGTTCCACAGGTCGGGGTCTGCTGTACTCAAGACTTGGTCCCTAGTCAGGGCCAACCAAAACTCAGGGGTGTGGGGAACCACTAGAGGTGGTGGGGATCAAGGTGAAACATGAGGAATCAGATGGTCCTTGAATGTGGATAGCTCAGTAAGTAGAGCATGAGCCTTGTAATCTCAGGGTTGTGGGTTTGAGCCCCATGTTGGGCAAAAGGTTCCTGCATTGCAGAGGGTTGGACTAGATGGCCCTCGTGGTTCCTTCCAATGTTACAATTCTGTGAACATGGGACTTCCTGCAGATGCTCTACCGCTGAGGTATGGGTACAAGAACAGTGAGAATGCATATAGTCTGGGGAGGTATGGTTTGCAGCTGCAATCCCTTCCCTTGCAGAGATGGTTTCAGGGTAACACTGTTAGGATTCTTGCTCCGTGCTTACAGTCATGGGATTGTTGTTTATCACATAGCGGTGTATGTTTTCATTCCACAGTGTGGGAAGTGACGGAGACAGGATGTTTTGGTATTACTGTGTTCCGTGATGTAGGGCTATTGTCCTTTGTTCTTTCTCTCTTTGATGTCTGATGAGAAAGAGGAAGGAGCTAAGTCAGAATGCTCCGAGTGTATTATATGTAAATAAATGTCGATTAGCCAAAATGCTGTGCTACTGAGTTGGTTACGTGAACAGCTGATACTCTGCAGGTTCTGTAAGTGTGCTGATGCTTCTTGGTATCAGTCGCTGTGATGTTCGGGCTGGAGAAAGCTTTTGAAGCTCCCAAACGACTGACCAGGAGGGAGAGAACATGCCAGTCGGGCATGTGTCGCTGCCAGGGTCCTACACAAGAGTAGGATCATCCTAACATTAGCACAACTGATTCAGCTGCACAGTAGGGGGTGCCACAACAATGCTGTAGAACGGAGTGCGAGAGGCAGAGGGCACCAAATTTCAGTGTCACACAGGGTGCCACTGCAATTTGAGAGTCCAAAGTCCACTCCTGCTCCTTGCTGAAACCACACTGTGTACACAATTGTCATCCGAACAGGCCTTAGGACTGTGCTGAATGCAGTTTAACCATGCTCTGTGACAGGGTAGTCAGGCCAGGCGCAAAGGAGATTTAATAATTGTACAGAAGAGGAAATAGTGTTGGGCAAAGCACCCCCTGCTAAGATTCCCTATTCTGAGATCCCTGACCTCCTTTGTGCATGGACACCCTTGTCTCATGCATGTTACTCTCGGCAGCTCTGCACTCATCTTTAAAACCATGGAGAAAATGATTAACTCCTAATGACTTTGCTGCTGCCTAGTCAATTGCACACTGGCATTATGGTTGTGCCTCTAGAACTGGTAACGTCCGTGGGATAACAAAGGAATTTACTGCTGGAAGCTGATCATACGTGCACGTTTTGAATCAGTTCACCCTTCCTCCTCTCCTGCTTAAAGACCTCTTGCAAAACCCATTCCATTCCATGTAATGCACAGAGCCTTGTGATATTAATCATGCCATTCCACAGATTGGAAATAAGAATTATGCCACTTTTCTTGAGAAAATTAAATTTTTGACATTTGAAATAATATATTTACCAAGGTAGTTGGAGAAAGGCTGTCACCGAAGCTATTTTCTGTCTGTTAAAAAGCACGCTTTAGTGTAAAAAATTGGTTTTGTCTCCAGCGCCACAAAAGCGTGGCCAACATTGATTCTATTTAACATTTTATCAACTGAACTGGAGAAGAGATATTACCTCTTTGAGTACCAGCCAAAGGTCATGTAGCTAATGCTGACCTCTGTCAAACGTTACACATTGTACAGGAAGGATTGACAATTATTGTTCTACTGTATTTTGCCAGACACCAGGGGTCATAGCAATGGAATTGTTATGTTGTAGCACTGCAATAACTCAAAGCTTGTTTGCCTGTACTGTGTGCAGAGTTGCTAAGGTCAAATAATGTAGTTGATGTGCTAGGCTAGGACTGAAAATGGCATGGATTTGGGGAATGGATTGGT